TTCTAAATGATCAACAATGAGGGGCTGTAGCTATGTCAATAAGCCCCACTAAATGGTCACCAAGAGGGGTCAGAGCTAAGTCAAAGAGCCCCAAAGGGTCAATAACATAGGGGGGGGGAGTCAAGTTCTTGCAATTCATTTTTTTAAATGACTTGCAGCATCAAAAAGTGCTTTCAATGTTATCAAAACTGAGGACTTCAGACTTTTCACAATTACAAACTTCTGGTCACGAAAATACTGGTGGCATTAGAATGTTTGGTCAAAGGCCAAACTAAAAGTAGGCAGTGCTGGTTTATTTGTTAATGATCAAGTGAGTAAACATATTTACAGCACCAACAAACTGCAAGGAACATTTCAGAATACAAAATCCTCTCCAACAACCTCACACCAAAGCAGGCAGCTCTTTCCACCTGTTTGACCAGAAAAGTGCCTAGACCTTATAATCTGATGTCACCAAACTATGTACTGAAAGTAAGGAACAAAATGTCTTATCATTTTAAATTAATGACCTTGTATCTAAGTGGCTTCATTACAAAGTCTCCAGCTGGACATTATACAAGGAACATTGTTTTCTTGAGACTTTACAGGTTTCTACAGCACTATCAACATAATTTCAGGCAAGAGAAATAAAACTGCCTGGTCAGCTGTTAATGTTGTCCGTGGTAGTTATCCGGAGGAAAGACAAGTCCATTCAAGAGTAGCTGCGTGTTGGCGGGAGTCTAGATTGCTGGCAATTGCCCTTTAGTTCTTGACTGACTGATTGAAAAATTGATTGATTGAGTAGGTGTTTTACAGCGCTATCGACCCAATTTCGGTCATTTAAGCCCCAACAGGTTTCACCACAACAAAATTAGACGTGTTTTAGTAAGAGTCTTTCGGAGCTCGCAACCGCACACGGTCACACTATTCTCATTATGCTAAAAGGACGGACAGACATTTATGAAAAATTTTGTAAATATGGTAAAGACTTATTTACATTTGTATATACAATATCAATTTCAGTGTATGTATAAATACACTGATAACGATAACTATATATTTTTATATTCTATTAAATAGTCCTATTTCTTTTACATAACTTAAATTTTTCTAGGGTCTACAATGTCAAAAAGGGTTTTGATATCTTTACATATAAAATATTTCTTACGTATATCATTAAATTCGACACATTCCATTAGGATGTGCCGACTGTAAAATATGTGTTGCACGCCACGCAAAAAGGAACAATCTCCTTTTGCTGGTTGTCCTGTGCTGAAGGGGGATGCTACCTTCCAGGGTGAGCGGAAGACCCTTGTCTGAACAGGGTATCTGCTGCTTCTTGGGCGGCAGTCAACTGTTGGCAAGGCAGCTTTCTGAGAGAAAAGAAATAAGTTCTCTGGAGTTACTAAATTTGAGCAAACAACAAGTACGTAGATGCCATAGTGGTCACTTGGCGCACATGATAAAACATGACTACAGAGAAAAAGGAAAAAAAGAAGGACCCTGTTTTTGTTTTTTATAAGTGGTTTTACGGCGCTCGCAACTGCATAAGGTCATATGAGCGCACGGGACATATGTGTCAATTAGGAATATCCTCTTTCACGTGTACGGTTTCGGGGTGTTTTTTTTTTAAAATTAAAAGTCGGTATAAAATGGTTAAAGGCTTAAAAGGACAGAAGGATATTTATATAAATCATGTCAGACAAATGTATAAGAACTCCGTGGAATCCAGCGCTCATCAATTTTTGGGCAAATGGAATTATTAGAATCATTTTAAAGGTTTTTCAATTTACTTTTTTTTTTAATGAAATAATATCCATTTTTCTTAGTATCTTTAGATCTAGTATTTCATGACAGCCTGATTTCACCACAATGCCTCATATATATATATACCATTAAAGAACTCGATTTTGTTTTGGCTAGACTGTTAAAAATTGAGGATCAGTATTTTTTTAAATAATTGTCGAGAATATCTCAAATATTTAATGAATTCTTTGAGTGAGCAATATTGCAGGACAATAAAAAGCAAATACCTCCTGAGGTCCTCGGGTGGGAAGTCTTTCTTCCGGTCTTGACGAACACTTGGGCAGCATACCTGCCAGCTTAGCACGTTCATTATTGCCTCAAACTCCTACATGACCAGGGCTGGGGATCCATGTGGTCTTTGTGAGTCTGCTGCTTTGCATCACCTCTAGCCAATCTGCATACAGCATGGGTTTCTTCCCCTTTTCGAGGGTGCTCATCGAGTCGGTGACAGGGATGGCAGTGTGATGCTCTGTCCCCTAAATCCAGTTTGGGGCTTCTGTGGTGGCTTTCAATCCATGCACGTGTTGGGCGTGGTCTGGTGGCACTAAACTGCATTCTCTATGTGACTCCGTTTACTCGGATGCAGAGGGCCCATCAGGATTAAACCCCACTCCGCACTGACCCTTCTGTGAAGATGCTTTGTCGCCCTTCTAGCGTTCTCCTTTACCGGCGTCTCTACCTCTGCCTTGGTTACCCCTCAGGACAATAACGCCATCACTTGCCGAGGGCTGCTTCCAGTGGAGTATACCTCCCAAGTGTGTCGGTGACGCTGACCCATTCGCTGGCCTTGGGGACGTCTTCCTTGCCGATCATTCACATCAGGGAGAGAGGATTAAATGTAACAATTACACTTATAATTTAATACAAGAGCTGCGTTGGTTTATGAGAAAGGTGTATTTAAAAGTCATAGATCTAAAAATAAAAAAAGTTGCTATAAAATTGTTTACAGTTGGTTTAAAGGGACAGAAGGATATTTATAAAAATCTGTCAGTAAATACACTTGATCGTTTTCTTTTTTTGCCTAAACTCAAATACAAAACTTTTACATTGAACTCAGATCCCAGGATAAGTATTTTTCTAATTTTATTGAACTAATGAACAAATGGTTTTCCAAGACATGTAAACGAGGAATCAGGCACTCGTCAATTTTTGGTCATTTTAACGGTTTTTCATTTGCCTTGCTTTCGATGAAACAATATCCATTTATCTTGAGTAGAAGTCAAGATATTTGCGATTGAAGGAGGTGGGGTTACCTGGCTTCAGAAGTAACAGTAGCGAGAAAATGGCCACCAAAGTTTTAGACACTTGGGAAATAGAAAATTTATATTTTTTGTGCCTCTAATCAACGTTTTCCATAAAATCCGAACGTAAAAGTGTTTTTGAAAGGACATACAAAGGTGATAAGCCCAAAAACAAAAACTATCCAATCTGGCAGAAAAATGCAGATTTCTCGGATTTCATTATTTTGACGAGCACCTGATCTAATCACGATGTCTCACATATTACAAATACCTCCTGCCAATGGTCCGGCAGGGGTATCCCTAGTATTTCATGACAGCCTGATTTCACCACAGTATATATATAAATACATCATTAAAGATCTCAATTTTGTTTTGGCTTGACAGTTAAAAATCAAGGATCAGTATTTTTCAAAATAATTGTCGGGAATACCTAAAATATTTAATGCATACTTTGAGTGAGCAATATTGCAGGAAATTAAAAAGCAAATACCTCCTGATGTCCTCGGGTGGGAAGTCTTTCTTCCTGTCTTGACGATCACTTGGGCAGCATACTTGAATGGAAGTAACCCAAGGCAGAGAATGTCGTAAATGACCGGAGGGGGCAGCCAAAACCGAGGTGGAGATGCTGATAGAGGCGACCGTGAGAGGGGTGACGGGGCGTCTTCACAGAAGGTTCAGTGCGGTGTGGGGTTTAATCCTGATGGGCCCTCTGTGCTCAAGTAAACGGAGTCACACAGAGAAAGCAGTTTAGCACCACCAGACCACTCCCAGCACGTGCATGGATTGAAAGCCACCACAGAAGCCCCAAACTGGATTTAGGCGACTGAGCGCCACACTGCCATCCCTGTCATCGACTCAATGAGCACCCTGGAAAAGGTGAAGAAACCCATGCAGTATGCAGACTGGCTAGAGGTGATGCAAAGCAGCAGATTCACAAAGGCTGCCTGGATCACCAGCCCTGGTCAATAAGGAGTTGGAGGCAACGAACGTGCTGATAAGCTTGCCGGCCAGCTTATCAGCACGTTCATTATTGCCTCAAACTCCTACATGACCAGGGCTGGGGATCCATGCGGCCTTTGTGAGTCTGCTGCTTTGCATCACCTCTAGCCAGTCTGCACACAGGATGGGTCTCTTTACCCCCTCGAGGGTGCTCATCGAGTCGGTGACAGGGATGGCAGTGCGACTCTCCGTCGCCTAAATCCAGTTAAGGGCTTCTGTGGCGGCTTTCAATCCATGCACGTGCTGGGCGTGGTCTGGTGGCGCTAAACTGCTTTCTCTGTGTGACTCCGTTTACTCGGGCTCAGAGGGCCCATCAGGATTAAACCCCACACCGCACTGACCCATCTGTGAAGACACTTCGTCGCCCTTCTCACGTTCTCCTCTACCCGCGTCTCTACCTCGGTGTTGGTTACCCCTCTGGACAATAACGACATTCTTGCCGAGTGCTGCCTCCAGTGCAGTATACCGCCCAAGTGTGCCGGTGACGCTGACCCATTCGCTGGCCTTGGGGACATCTTCCTTGCCGATCATCCACATCATGGAGAGAGGATTAAATGTAACAATTACACTTTTAATTTAATACAAGAGCTGCGTTGGTTTATGAGAAAGGTGTATTTAAAAGTCATAGATCTAGCCAACACATTTTTGAGATAGGCCTTAATGCCAAAAATCAGAATTATAATTAAAAGTGAGAGCCACAGGTGCAAATATTTGTAGTTTTCTAGTCACAATGCAGGAAAAAAAGTTTTAAAAATTGATTGCAAAGAGAAATACCTTTTGAGGCAGATCATCTCTCATGACTCGTTATGAAATTGTTAACTGTTGCTTTAAAAAGTCATTAGGACATTTAGAAAAATCTGTAAGTAAATACGTTTAATCATTTTCCTTCTCCAAAAAGCAAAAATTAAACTTTTACATTGAAGTCAGACACACACAGGTATTTTCCAAAACTTAATGAAATAATGAACAAATTATGTTTCAAGACACACTTCACAGATAAATACCTCCTGCCGATGGTCCGGCCGTGGTATCCATGGGATCCTCCCGTTCATCCTCTGCTCCAGCGGAGGGGTCCTGTTGGTGAAGACATGTGTCAGTTAGGAATATCCTCTTTCATCTCTACAGTTTTTCTTGTCTCATCTCAGAAAATAAAGAGTCCTTATAAAATTGTTTAATGTTGGTTTAAAAAGTCATTAGGACATTTAGAAAAATCTGTAATTATGTTTCATCATTTTCCTTCTAAAGGCAAAAATTAAATTTTTATATTCAAGTCAGACATTACAAGTATTTTCCAAAACTTATTGAAATAATAAACCAATTGTGAGGCAGCGTGGTGGAATCAGGCTCTCGTTAAAATACTCAAAGTGAAGAAACCTGCATTTTTCCACAGGTTTGTGAATTTTTATCAAATTTGTCTATTTTGGCTCAACACCTTTCACGCTCATTAAAGAACTCATTTCTGTGTGGATTTTTTTGAAAAACATTGATTAAAGGCATAAAAAAGTAAATTTTCAGTTACCACGGACTCGTAAGCTAAGGCAATAACTAATCTTTGGTGGCCATTTTCTCACTAATTCTACCTCTGAAAACAAGTGACCTTCAGCTCCTTCAATTACAAATATCTCCACTTATATTCACGATAAATGAATATTTTTTTCATCCAAATAAAGACAAGTGAAAAAGATTTAAGATGATACCAATTACTCTACATGCCCAAAAAATGGACGAGAGCCTGATTCCACCACGCTGCCTCACAATTATGTTTAAAGATACACTTAACAGAAAATACCTCCTGCCGATGGTCCGGCCGTGGTATCCATGGGGTCCTGCTCTGGGTCATCCTCTGCTTCAGCAGAGGGGTCCTGGTGATGAAGACATGTGTCAATTAGGAATATCCTCTTTCATCTGTACAGTTTAATTATGTTTCAGAAAGTTAAAAGAGTCGTTATAACATTGTTTAATGTTGGTCTAAAGTTAGTAAATACCTTTTATCTTTTTTCCTTCTCATCTAAAGTCAAAAGAAAAACTTTCACATTGAACTCAGGCCCATTCTTAGTAGTAGTAGTATAAGGTTTTACGGCGCTCGCAACTGCTAAGGTCATATGAGCGCGCGAAACACAAGTTGTTCGCCTCTGCGAAAGTTCACTTCACGGCTGGTAACTAATTTACTTTAAAATGCTAAAAAGTTAAAATATTCAGGCCCATTCTTAGGTATTTTTCTAAATTTACGGACATAAAAACAAAAGGTTTCCAAGACATATTTCACAGATAAATACCTCCTGCCGATGGTCCGGCCGTGGTATCCACGAGTCCTCCAGGTCATCCTACGCTTCAGCGTAGGGGTTCTGTTGATGAAGACATGTGTCAATTAGCAATATCTTTACAGTTTTGTTTTTTTTTTGTTTCAGAAAGTAAACAGTCCGTAAAAAACTTTACTGTTGGTTTAAAAAGTCATTAGGACATTTACAAAAATCTGTAAATATGTTCAGTCATTTTATTTCTAAATGCAAAATTTTAACTCTTACGATGAAGTCAGACACACCCAGGTATCTTCCTAAACTTACTGAAATAAT